ATAATCTTGCAATTTTCCTTAACCTTTTTCTAAGTTCTAAAATAAATTAACAAACTGAGTTTAATTAGTCAAGTCTAAAGCAAACCAAGAGAGTATTCGAAGGATATGTTTGAATAGTCTTTCTAAGTTATTGATGACTTGAATTGTAAGATATTGTCTAAATTCATTGCAAATTAGGTCGAGCTCAACTACTAGGCTACAAATGTACAATGTACTTGTATGTATGCATTGCATTAGATGTATTTTCTAACAAATCATTCTAGATGCACCACATCTTACTTTACAAATCACTCATATTAAACTATATGAACTTATTCTTAAGTCTATAAATACTCTATGAAAGGCAACCCCAAAGTACTTTTTTGAACTTCTAATATTTTCCTTATTTTCTTTCGCCATTAAATAAGACGTTACTTATTTAAATATTAGAATGGGAAATAATTGGTACACCTTGCAAGATTACATATTCCTTTATACATTGACGATTTCTGTTATTTCTATAGTTAAAACTGATGGTTTCTATTATTTGTGCCGTTAAAACTGACAATTTTCGTTACTTATGCCGTTAAAATTAACGGTTTCCATTAGTGTGTAACTGTGCAGGGTAGATGTATCATTGTTCTATTAGAATATCTACATTAAAGTGTACCTTCAAATTTTCAAGTTAATCCATTTTGGACTAAGGAGCTTGGCAAATTGGATTGCAAAACTCATTCGTGCCCTTACAAATATTAAACTCAAATTCACCTATCTATAATATGAAAGTGAATGGTGAGCAAAGGACAAACTCCTAAGACCATGGAACTTCCTCATGCATGATGCACACCCCAATTTCCAAATTAATATTGGAATTATGAAACCTTAAGATGGAAAGTCTATGTTTGGTGAAAATCATAGGATGCTTGACAAGTTATTGCATATTGATACCGGCACACAGTAGCTACATGTCTAAGAATATCACATATTTGACAGATAGAGTAGTCTATAATGTTAGGCAATGGAATGTGTTGGGCCATTGATACATGATTCCTTGCTTTTTGCAACTTCCTCCTAGGAGGACTCCAACATGGGTTGTTCCACGATGATTTAGGAGTATCATCAACAATCATTATGTAAAATCATATAAAGTTAAGTAATACGTTAGTAAATGGTACACACATGAACATTAAAATGAGAAATAAGGGAAGGGAGAAAAAAAATTATACCATCATATTGGCTATCAAAGCATTTTTGGTTGTCCATTTACCAAGTATTAAATATAGGAAAAGAAGGCTATTGTAAATAAATTAGGCAAATATTTGTTAATAAAGCAATAGAAAAAAAAAAGAGTTTTGAAATTTATAAAAGTAATTACTTGTTAATAAGAATATAAAAATAATTATACAAAGGATAAAAGAAACGAATTGAATTGAGAGAGTAAGGGACAAATAGCAAAGATTAGAAAGTGAAAAAGGTGTATACATAATGGCTTTGTATAACTGCCAATCAATGAACTTATTTCTGCAACATATTTCTCGTTGTTGATATTATGGTTGCAATTATTACCAACATAGATCACGTCGGTAAATCTCACTTTCACCCACATACTAACTATGTTGTTGATTATTGCTTACTAAAAATATAATTGTCGATCAATGAATAACGGCAAGGTGGGCCTTGTCGATAATGTATAAAATCAATAACAAGGAATATGTTGCTAAATCTTCAATTGGCTGGAAAATTGTAGCAAGGTATAACGCATTGTTGATATTTGTTTTAACAATATATCCCTTATTGTTGATTATAAGGCCCACTTTTAGTTGAAAAGAGGTACTATACAAGTATCAACAATATGTTCCTTGTTACTAAAAAACACAATCACCGACAAACAAAGTTATGTTGCTAATAATTAGTTGCTAAAATTAAGAATTTTAGTAGTGGGAGATTACAAAAGGAAAAGTTACTTTACTTTTGCCAAAGAAGATAAAAGGTTGAGCACCCTAAGACTAATATTATTTGATAATCAATAGATAAGAATTTCATATAATAACTGCATAAAGTTAGCTTATATCTAACTACACTCCGTAGATATCTAACCCTAGCTGCTAATGTACTGTAAATGGAAGTAACTTAATAGGTATAAGTATTCTCTCCCACATGGATACTGTTCTTGGAACTTCATTTGATTTTTTTTTTTGTTGAATAAAATGTAAAGTTTTATTTATCCAATAAAACTGATATGTACACATGAACAATAAGTCATTTGTTACTATAATTAATTACAATTCCAATCAAAGAAAGAATTCATCTATCTAAGAGATTGGAACTTCATTTGATTTTTTTTTTTGTTGAATAAAATGTAAAGTTTTATTTATCCAATAAAACTGATATGTACACATGAACAGTAAGTCATTTGTTACTATAATTAATTGGATAATTATATATACACCCTCTCAATCAACACTCATCTCAACACCCAAGGTTAAAATGAGGAGGGGTAAATTTGTAATTTTACTGTTCATAAGCCTTGGGTGTTGAGATGGGTGTTGATTGAGAGGGTGTATGTATAATTGTCCTAATTAATTACAATTCCAATCAAAGAAAGAATTCATCTATCTAAGAGATTGGAACTTCATTTGAGAGTTTAATGTTCCAATTAATTGAATCTTTATTTTCTAAAATGAAATTTTTAATTGACTATCATTTTGGGCATTTATTTAATTTAAAATTTAATTAATTTTAAGATTAAATTAAAAAAATTCACATAAATATATAAAGTAAAATATTAACTTCAAATGGAATAAAAAAATCCATACAAATAGAAAAAAATATAAATTAAGTAAAATATATTTATAAAATAGATAAAAGCTATACAAAAATTATATCAACTATCATTGTACAACTTAAACTTTTACTCACCAAAATAACTTTGAAAATTAAAGTATTGACAAAATTATTATAAAATTAAACTTATTTTTAAAGAGATAAAAGAAGAGAAAAGAGAGGAGGAAAGATGGTAGAGTCTATAACTCCTGAGATTTAAAAAGGAAATCTAATTTTTGAAAAATGTCATTTGCAATGGTTTTTCTGGAGACGCGGTTTAAGTCTTGTCGAGGTGGTTTGGCCTGACAATCGCCAGGTGGTTTCATCCAAGTTAATGGGATAGGTTCCCGCGTGGGCAGGAGATGTTGTGGCCCTCAGAACAAGGCATGAGTTGGTGCCCATGTAGAGGGGTGGCCTATTATTTTTTCCGGGCAGTACGTACATGCCTTAAAACTTTTAAGTTGTTAGTAGTACTAAATCTTATAAATTATACTCTTCTTTTGATATGGGTATACCTTTCTTTTAAGGTTAGTTTGAGGCATTTTAGCAATTAACAATAGAGGACAAAGGCAAGGTGGATTCTTGGGAGTATAGTTATGGCTACCAATTTATTTATTAAAGTAATTAAAATTGTGTTAAAAATTATTAATTTTATTTGATTTAATTTTTAAGAATGGTTAATAATTGATAGAATAATTGATATTTATTTTTTAATAAATTAAAATTATCAACAATTTAAGTAATTTAATGATAATTTTTTTCTTGTAAAAATAATACATTTTGAATTTAAATCACATGACATGCAAATAAAATGAGTTAAACAACAGCAAAAGTTGCCTTTGATTGTACAACACCAAATCATAAAAATAAAAAATAAATTAAAATCAGTTTATAAATGTATATTTTTAAATATCATAAATAATTATTTATTTTAAAAAATAATATAAGTATCAATCAAATTAAATATAATTTTAACAGTATTGACAAATAAATTGGTGGTCATAACCGCATCCGATTCTTGTAGAACTAAACATTCGAAGGGAGGCATTTCTTTTGTGCTGTGGTGCTAGTTACTTTCTTCAAAACTTGTTACTTATGCAGAAAAGAGCAAATAAATACGTCTTAGTTTTAAAAAAAAATCATAATGTCAAATAGTAACCACATGATGTACTTGATAAAGTTACAATTCATATTATGTCTCACATATTTAATCATCGTGATTAGACGTATTGACATTTTTAATATTAAAATGTCTTGATTTTCTCTTTTCCCTTACTTATAGGCACTTTAAATGTTAAAAAGCAACATTTTCCTCTAAAAAAATTTTCAAAGTTAAGAAAAAATTGTTATGATCCAATTAATTGAAAAATAAGATCTGTCAAACGCCTCTAAGTTTGGTTGATTATCATTTTTGCATGCATACATAAACAAACATACACCATTCGCTGATGCAAACATGGAATTTCTTGTAAAATTACGTTATGACACAAACAACATTTCCTTCATGAAAAACAACAATTGCAGGAGCTCATCTGAGTCATAAATATGCTGATACGTAAAATTAATAGCAGGATTGAGACTCTTTTTCCTAAAGAGTGAAATAGCACAAAAATATATTATAAGTAGACCAACTCTAAAGGATAGTTTAACTGATTAAAAGTTTAAAATTTCAAATTAAAAATTTTAAATTAAAAATTTCAAGTTTTAACTTAAAGTTGAATGAAAAAAAATTTAGTAAAAAAAAAAAGTTATTTACTCTTAAATAATCATCATAAGATGTACCAAAAAAATATTATAGCTAGAGTACATATGGGAATTGATAATTTCCTCATAATCAAGCCGTCATTGTTTGATTCATTGGCGGCG